TTGACGTTGGCTACAGCCTGGTTGCCGTCCTTCATGGTTATACGGCTGACCACCTCACTTAGAGAAGCCTTTGACTGGACATAACTAATAAAACTTTGGATTTGTTTTCGCAAATGTGGCCAACCTAACCTCGTATGAGTACTTCACCTGCCGTGACAACGTAATAGTCATGTTTCGACACATTTTGTATTCCAGCCAACGTCGGAAGCGCCGAGTTTCTTGGTACCTTTTCCACTCAGTATTGCGCCTCTTTATCGCTTTGTCAATCTTTCTCCTCCACCATCGGGGTTTCCAAAGATGTTTCCTAGGGCGTAGAGGAGCAAATTCGTTCAGCAACTGCACGAGCCCACTTCCGAGTAGAAGCCACCTCTGTTCCAAAGTGGCTTGATCTTGTTCATGTATCCAAGTAATTTGAAGGGCTCGATCGCGCAGCTTCGGAAAATCAATACGAGTTAAATCCCTTCCCATACGACGGTTCACTACGAGCCTCGGTGTGTTCAGAGAAAAGGTCAAAACGCAATGATCACACCTACCTATGGGTGGCTCCACGCGTAGGTCAATCAAGTGACCATGTCTGGCGATCACGACATCAAGGGTTGAAGGCGTACTCCCAGTAAGATTCCTGGTCGGAACACTGACGTATTGCTCGAACGCATGTTCGCGCATCCAATCGACCAATTCCTTCTCCAGAATACTCGCCCTGTTTTTAACAAGCTGCCAATCAGCATGAAGAAGGTTTAGGTCACCAACGATAATAAAATTAGGTGCGGCCATTGCCGCCTATCTTAGTAAAGTAGCATGATGCTTGTCCTCTTCTCGCGTGGAGGATGGGCTACGATAAACACCTACTATAATCTTCAATCTACTCCATGCTCTTAGAAAGCAGGACATTACCTGAACGTTAGCAGAACTCATGGTAAATGAAGCCACTTGGCGTTTAGATTGGCACTCTATAAGCAATAGGACTTCTCCACCAGTCTGATCAGCTCTGTAGCAGATCACTAGTTCAAGTTCAAGTTTGGGTGGGACTGGAACGACAGGAGAATCCCGAGAGTGTTCCATCTTGAGTGGATCGTTGAGCCAGG